GCATTGTTCCCTGCTTTCAAACATAAACCAGCCTGGAATTCATCTCTATTCTTTCCAATAATAATTTACACATATATGAAAACAAAGTTCACTTCTCTGTCAAAGCACATTAGTCTTCACCATATTGTGAGGTCTCCAGGATCTCTTGAGTACAGGGAGATTCTAGTTTAGTTCTAGCCTAATGAACTAGAAGCCATGCTTGAAATACACTGGTTTTTCTCATGATAATAAGACTCCGAGTTCCTTGCTTCTTCCCCAAAAGTCAGTAAAGTGCTGAAAAGATAAAGAGTGTGACTCAAGCAGTGATTCTTGTTATTATTCGAAGTGGATGATAATGAGCACTGAAAAGAAAATGCTTTCAGATTATAAGTAATGCCTTCAAGTCTTAATGAAAAATGACTAGAAAAATTCTTCACTCCAAAACCTTGTTTGAGTAAAGCAGTGACACTAACTCTGCGACTCTCCAGAATTTGCATGGGGCTTAAGAAAGTGCTGTCTATGCTGGCCCAAGGTATCAGACACTGAAGAATAAGCTATTTCCCTCAGAAGCCTGGCCTCAGTTTGGTGTCCCTTCAGCCACGAGCCTGTGGATTAATTGCAAGAATTCAAGCAATATCATGTTTACACTTATTTCATTCGGGAGAATACAATGTAATTCCAAAACCTGACAAAATCCAGTCTCACCAAGAACAGTTCAACACCATTTGAACTTAAAAATGTATTCCTATCATTCAGGTGGCAATTAAATGTGAGCTTATGATTTATGCGCTGTGCCAGTCTGCTACATACCCTGGGTCTGTGTGTCATTTGGCATGTTCAAACCACCATCAAATGGTTCAGATCTAGTGTTCAGAACCAGTGTTTTTATTCTTTGTGCCTGGTCATCACCAAAAAATATACCATATGCCTGCTTAATATTCCCTGCAGCCGCACAATTCATGTAAGAGAGATACAAGTTAATCTCAGGATCTGAAGAGATGAAGGAACTCTTCAAAAGTAGGTGAAATTTAAGGCCCTTTTAACCCCATCTTGCAAACCTCAGTCTCTGATGTCAGTACTTTCATTTATTGCCTTTCTTTGTGATATAGGAATGGGAGACACCCCCTGAGACACAGAATTTTGCTACTATAAAAGGCATCTTACAATCTTTTCGTCCCTACACATATTAAGTCCCATTATAAAAACCTTAAAACCTGCCACTAGAAGGCTGTTTCAGACAACAAAAGTATGCTCAAAGTGCTTTCATGACACCACTGTAACATAAATACATTGTGTCCAATGAAAGATAAGGAGATCATTAAATAGAAAGCAGTATTGGCTGTTGGTTGGAAAGCAATATCTAATAAAACCTTAAAATGAACTTATGAAGTAAGAGTCAATGATTACATCGGTACGTTGATAAAAAGATAAAGGTAAAAGCTATAGATTTAATAGATGAACAGAGTAAGATATAAGGTAGAAATACAAATATAAACCAGTAGGTTGTTTGTTAAATGTTTATATATGTAGCAGATGGGAGGAAGAATGAAGACACTTTGATTTGAAAATTTTCTTAAGTATACATTACCCTCAAGACTGAGTCAGCTTATACAGCCTTTTTTGCTCGGTGGGGATTTTACTTTGAAGTGCAGAGAAATTCTCTCCCCAGGAAAGCTCTCCTATATACTTCTGAAAGTATTTCCTTTTGATATTTGGAAACAAGGTATTTAGCTGTACTTAGCCAGCTATTAGGGAAAAGCAGACAATTAGCAGATAAAAGAAAAAAAATATACCTGAAATAAGCTCTCATTTTTTTAAATTAAAGTGCTATAAAAAAGATATTGTTAATTTTGCCACCAAAACACAGTTTAGATGGAAATTATAAAAATATAGGAATGGCAACTGCTTTTGCTTTACTATGAGTGTCAAGTAATGCTGATGGATGTGTCTATCTCTGTATATTAGACATACAGAAGTTCTGAGAAAGGGTTAACTTCCAGAAACTTTTTGCAGCTTTGTGTTTGTGATGATTGTATAAAATTGACAGTCACAAAACGGCAGTGAGCCCAGCCTTATGAGGTGCAGTAAAATTTTTACCCCTACATTTGCCTGCTTGAATCTTTGTTTCTTTTGCATCATGAGTTTCAATAAAATGTTTCAATCCTCTAATCAAAAAAAAAAAAACAGGAATAAATTAAACTTCAATATTTGCTATTAGGCACTGGCATGGTAGAAAGTTCCAATGGACACATGTATCAGCTTGTTTATGAGTCTCCAGGTCTAGCTCTTGAGAACTTGCAGCTTTAAATATTTAAACCCATAGGAATGCAAACTCTTTAATTATGCAAACAGCAGCTGACAATTTCAATGAAGAAAATTAGGCAGGAAAAAAGATTGTAGTAGAAACGCAGTAAAGTGTAATGAATACATTCTTCTGCTGGACCGATTATTCTCTTTACAGTATGCTTTGCAATGGACAGGTATGAGAGACTACTGTGATATGGCAGTGATACGGCAGAATTATTCCTGAGGGGTATTTCAGTTTTATCCTTACCCCAATATGTTATTTAAGTCAGTTCAGATATTCTTTATTTTGTAAGGGCCAAGTTAACCCCTTTAGTGACTTAAATTACTGCATCTTTGTAAAATAGAGTATGACAGATTGTTTCAAAATTATTCACTTATGGACTGAAATAATTTAAGCCAAGTGAAAATACATATTGTTCAGAAAAATGTACCTATTCTATACTTTGAATTCCTGCATTGCAACCTTCAGCGTAAAAATCCAGGCATCACAAAGCAATGCTTCTCTACCTTCTTTTGTACCTTTTAAATACGAAGGGGTTACAAAGATTATTATTTTTTTTAATTGTCTGTCATAGAATCATAGAATCGTTAGGGTTGGAAAGGACCTTAAGATCATCTAGTTCCAAACCCCCTGCCATGGGCAGGCACACCTCACACTAAACCATCTCACCCAAGGCTCTGTCCAACCTGGCCTTAAACACTGCCAGGGATGGAGCAGTTGCAACTTCCCTTGGCAACCCATTCCAGTGCCTCACCACCCTAACAGGAAAGAACTTCTTCCTTACATTCAATCTAAACTGCCCCTGTTTAAGTTTTAACCCATTACCCATTGTTCTATCACTACAGTCCCTAATTAAGAGTCCCTCTACAGCATCCTTGTAGCCTCCTTCAGATACTGGAAGGCTGCTATGAGGTCTCCACATAGCCTTCTCCTCCAGGCTGAACAGCCCTGACTTTCTCAGCCTGTCTTCATACAGGAGGTGCTCCAGTCCCCTCATCATCCTCGGGGCCCTCCTCTGGACTTGTTTCAACAGTTCCATGTCCTTTTTATGTTGAAGACACCAGAACTGCACACAATACTCCAAGTGAGGTCTCACGAGAGCAGAGTAGAGGGGTAGGATCACCTCCTTTGACCTACTGGTCACGCTCCTTTTGATGCAGCCCAGGATACAGCTGGCTTTCTGTCATTACCATCTTCTGAGATTCTCAGTCTGAGCCCTTCCCTTTCTAGCCAAAAACTGGCAGAACACCTACAGCTTTATGGGTATCTTCATCTCCAAAGGAAAGATAGGAGGAAAAAAGACTGAAGAAGACTGAATTGCATGCTGCTCCCTGCAGAGTATAGCATCCTCTGCTTGGTTCCTAGCATGGTCAGGTGAAGACCACCTGTGGCTCTACTTCTACCCAAACTAGTATTTCTAAATGAGATACAAATTTCCTGTCTCTTTACAGGTCAGAATAGCATGACTGCCTAAACTGGGATGCTGTAGCTCTCAGGAATCCAAATGCTCAGTGCCTGTGTCTCTTTTAGTACCTTGTTTCTCATCCTGTGCTCTATAGCCATTCCCCCTGCACATGCTATACATGAGTGTCATGCCATTTTCAGCAGCAGCTTTGATCTTCCCATTGGAACTTCTGTGCAAGCTATTTTCTCCAAACTAGTACTCACATTAAACCCCACCAGTTCCTGATTTCCATAGGTCCTAAAGGATCAGAGAAACAATTTCCATTACAACATATTGCTAACTTTAGTCTAGCACAATCTCACTCCAGGTATTTCCAGGTATTAGACATATTGCCAAAAAAGTGCAGATTTCTACCACTTCTACAACAATCCCAGGGAATTGAACCTACAGTAAGAAACACTGAGGTTCAAACCCCCTGACAGAGGGAATGCCATAGAGCTGAGGCAGATGGCACAAAGGAGCTCTATCAGCAGTGTAGGCAGAGCTGGTACCGTTGAGTTCCCTGTGCAGTCAGCTGCAAGCGGTTGTCACAGCTTATCTTAACACTCCAGTTTTTAGACACTGGTACAGGCCTATCTGTATTAAGGTGAATGGCAAATATGGCAGCTTGGGTGTTGGACCTACTAAGTTTTGAAAATTTGGGTGGGCAAGCATCAGCTTGCTTTATGAAACCAAAAGCATGCTTTAGAGGAAATCAATATTTATGTCTCTATCCCTTCATTTGAGCAATCTGAAAAGGAACTGTGGAGTGTAGGTTCACCCATATTGCTGCCCAAGCATTCAAGGTGCCATGCAGAATATGCATCAGTTATATGGCTCTTCAGACCTTGTAGTTAGAGCAGGGAGAACTCTGTAAGCCAGGGGCCTGTTTTCTGAGAGAAGTAGGCTTGAAAAGGCAATTCATCATTTCTCTATTCAATAAGAAGAGGATGTATTTACTTTTACAAAGGTGAAGCTCTTGATTTAGCACATTAGATTTGAGACCCAAAATTATATTGAATACCCCAAATTAGTTTTTCTAACTGGAATTCAGGTATCATAAAAAGTCCTTGTCAGAAAAAAAAATATTTTTTTGTGCTTCTCCTTTCATTGTTTTCAGCCCTTTGAGGAGAGAAAGGAGGGAGTTTTAAAAAATTGAGACGAAAACAAACCAGAGCAAAGATACAAAAGCAGACCTAAAGACAGACACTTCAAGCTTTTGAGCCCTAGTCTGAGCCTAATCCTTTCGCCTCTGGATGAAGTGTTTGGCTCATAATCCTTCTACGAAGTATGTTACTCACAGAGAAACAAGGTCATCTATTTCACCATTAAGCCACTGGGTTTTCATAAATGCTACTTTATCTTCAACATGAATACTACCTCCAATGTGAATTAGAGCAAGGCTTGAAAACTTTGCTCTTACTGAAAGAAAATGGTGGCAAAAAGTTTGAAAAACAACCATGTTAAGCATAACTACAACTTTTTAGCCAGGACATAAAAGGAGTAACTACTTTAACAGTTGTGTCTAAGGAGCTGGTTAGAAACAGCTGCTGTACTATACTATTGTCCAGACAGAACATCATAGTACCTGCAGCTGTTCTGGGTTCAGCTGCCTGGTGCATCACAGGGACACAGCAGAACTTCGGTGATGAAACACACTGAACCATGTAGAGAAAAAAGAGAAAACCCCTTTGGATAATAACTCAGCTGTTTGCTATTTGACAAGGAATTCCAGGGCAGCGCTTCCCTGTTCTTCAGAGGGAAATATGCTGGCCATTGAAGTTAAAGGTGCTCATGAAGCCCACACTGAGGGAAAGGATGGAGACAATATCTAATCTGAGGGGACTGGTTTGAATGGTCAGTTAACTATAAGAACTGTGATTTGGGCATGGTAATGAACGTGTGTTGTCAGTTACTCTGGGCCTGACCATAAATGCCTCACTTAATACTAGGTTCTTTGTAAAGCAATCATATAAGGTTGCAATAAAAGACCTGAGAGAAATGGGTAGCAAATGTTATCATCACAATTTGATTTTAAGTAAGAAAGATGCAGCAACTGTGCTTTGTATTCTTCCCAAATAGTTAAACTTGATATGTCACCAGTCAAATTCATTCATTATACCTCTTGGTTTCATGATATTTTTTTCTCTTCTACTATGCAATTTTATTACCCTCTTTTCACCCTCACAGGTTTCTGTTATTCACAGCGGGTGCATGATGTGGGGATTTTTTGCATCTCATTCAGTTGAAGAATAAGTATATGAAAAAAAATTATCACTTGAAAATAAAATGTTTTAAAAACCTAAACCCACAGGTTTGCAGTTCTCAATGAAAAATTATTTCAAGTTCACCAGATAAATTCAATTTTTATATTAAACAATTAGCCTCTTAATAAATTTAAATAACCCCTCCTGGAAAAGAGTTTACTTTTATGTCCTTTATTCCATCAAAACTGCATTGCAGTTTTCCAGTCTTTATATTTACATTATTTGCAACTCTTTCCATAAGTGCCAGTACAAATGCAACTGATGACAATCCAGAATAGTCATACAAATGTTCCTGAAAGCAAGGTGCATTTCTGAGCAGATTTTTTTCTGATGTGCAATAATATATATGTATATATTAACAAAGCTTCATAATATAAAATATCTTCCATGGCAAGTAAAACTTCTCCACTTACAGCTTATTCAGATTTCAGTTACATAGACTTCTGCATTTCAAGTTAGTGCAAATAATGAAAGTAAGAGCCTGAGCAGAATGATGTAAATACAATGGAACAAGAGAAACAGCAAAATTTTACCAATTCCCTGCATATGGTTGAAACATTTAATCAGTATATCATTAGTATCCTTTATATACAATTTATTTAAATAATTGGCTTGTCTGAACTATAGGCAACAAATTTACAAATTAAAATAAAATAACGTTTCACACAAATATGGAATGTCCAACAAATATATGAAAATAAAAAGCATCTAGTAACAAAACATTGTAAATCAAAAAAGTAAAAGATGTCTTCTCTGTCTTGGAAGATTTCAAGGCACTTTCTTGGCAAATCAGAATTCTCTCCTTGTTAAAAAGTCTGCAAAAGAAAAGGATATGCCATTTTTAGAACTAGTTTCAAAACACGGAGGCAGACTGCTTAGTATAACTCTGTTTATAAATCACAGTCTCCTGTGGACGGCATAAATCTTATGATTAACTCCAGAATGCCAGTGGGTCTTCCCCTCCTGCAAACACTAATGAGTTTTGCTGTGGCAAATCCTCAGCATTGATGCTAAGAGGTTTAACACATAGCAGTGCACACTGCTGCATCTTACAAGGAAGTTTCCCATAGTTGTGCCTATTTCTACATTCTGGGCTTCATCAAATGATTTACTTCCATTTGCAAGGATCAGAATTCGAAAAATACAACCCAACAAAGGTCTGAAGGCTGTAAAAGAGCGAGCAACAGCTATGAAGTACGTCTCCTGCACACCAGTTCCGGAGCGGCCGCGGCTCTGAGCAGCCCACACCCGGGCCTCGGCAGCCTTATCCATGGTCCTGAAACGTCCCGCGGACGCGCCCCTGCCGCTCCAGCTATTCCCGCGGGAAATCTGGCTTTTCCTAGGCAATTTCATTTCTAACAGGAAAAGACCACGTCTCCTTTTCTTACCCGAGCACTTTAAAGACAGGGAGGAAAATATTCGCATAATAGCATTGTAGTTCTTTTTTTTTTTTTTTTAATGAGGGAAACACAGAATATTTTAGTACATGCAGGAGAAATACTTACTAATTGGTGTCAATTCTTTGAGTGGGAGAGCCTCATTCTTCAAGGCAACTGAAAGTCTCCAAGACTCTCTCAAACGTTAAACCAAAGACAAATTCCCTTAAACAGTAGCTATGACCCTATCCTCTCTAAGCTAGTGTGAGTGTGGCGAGGAATACATCCTCTGTGCCAGAAGATGGAGTAGAAGCAATGACAGAATCCTGCTAGAAATGCAGTGGTTTTGAGGGATGAACATATATAACTCCTGCGCTGCCCCGTCTGTTCGGAGGGAAGAAAGAGTGATTTCTGCCATGCATTCTTCTCAGGAAATGTTGCCATTACAAAAAGATACTGGATATAAGTAAACATGAAGACCTGCGCCTGGCCTATTTCTAGTGGAAACTAGACACTCTGTCCATTTGGTGAAGGAACAGGGTGAGCGAGCACAGAGGCAGCCAGGATGCAGCTACTTGATTACAGCTCTACTTCTTCCTACAATGTTTCCACTATTTTTAACAAAGTAAAGAGAAGTGAACAACTTTAACTGAACACAGTACACATGAACTGCGAGCATTGCTTACCATCTAAGCCCTCCCTTCCACACCTGTCATCTTTGAGTGTATTTTTGACAGGCAAATTAGAACACCTGGATTTGCAAATCATCACAGCTTTTGATCCTTTTGCATTTTAAAGATGGAAGAATGAGATAGATGCTTCTGTACTGTGCATATGGAGGCAGATCTTCGACTCACCTTCTTGAAAGAAAAGGAAAAAAGGTATTGGAACACCAAGAAATCTTTCTGGAAACTCTGAGCCACGAACCCAGAGGTGTGAAGGGATACAGATGAGGGACAAACACAAACTAAATAGGTGAAAATGCAGAAAATGAGAAAGCTGAGATTTGAAAGAGAACACTGATGAACAAACAGGAATTTAGGCTCCTCAAAAAATAACATTTTAAAAAAGTGGACTGAGGAAAGGATTTCTTTCCTTAGTAAGGAAAGGTAAAGAAGATCCTGACAAAGTAATGGTAGACCTATTCAGTTGCTGGTTCAGCGTCCCTGATATATTCAAAACCATCTGCAAGACGTGGAAGGCAAGAGGCCAAACAGGCTGAAAATAGTTAAGAAAAGGAGAAAGAAATTATGTCATTTCTTCTTAGCACTGAAATATTGCCTTATTCTTCAGAGCATTTTCTAACAGCCACCAAAATGAATCCCACCTCCACTTGGAAATCAAATCAGCTAACACTGACTCATATCCTACTCTTCCTTTCTTATTCTTGATTAGTATGAATTGAAGTCTTGATGCAGGAAGAAATGACATACACAACTCCCCCAAACTCCAAGCTTGCAGTATTTGTCAGGAGGAGGTGGTGAAAGGAAACCATCTTTGAAGAAATTTAAATAAATTAAGTCACTGATTTTATATATTTCATTGGTCAATAATAACCAGTGAGGATTTTCAAATCACTGTTGGGAGTGTGACTGTCCTATTGATATTCAAACAACTCAAGAAAATAGCTCACTTGAAGATGTTCCTTCAGTGACAATGCTGTTTAATTAACACATTTAACATGCTATTCATAAGCAAGAGTAGTCTGGTTCTTTCCACAGTCTGTTACTTGAAGCCTTTAGCTTTGTCACATCTTCATGTTCAGTTTACTTTCATCACCATGAAGTGGTATTAACTTTGGAGATGTTCTCAGGAGCATGATTTGGGCATGAAAAGCGGTCTAAAAGATGACCAGGCTATCAATGAAGACTGCATTGTCAGACCTGAAACCAAGACATTTTTCTTCTTCCATGGATAACAAAGCCTTCTTCTGAAAGGCCTGAAGTAAAAGTGTTGATGAAGTCCTAACACACCTTTCTTTCTCCAACCAAACTCCGTCTTGAAATTCTAAACAGTAAGAAGCCACCCAGCACATAATTATGGACTATGGTGCCACAAATGTGTAACTGTAGGAAATTGCAGTGGGACCTACAGAGGTATCTGTGCTTCTTTGTATTTCCATGAGGAACCAGTCAGTCCTTACAGCAATGCCAGAACTGCATGTTGATGCACCCTGTTAACACCACATTTATGTATGCATGCCTGATAAAAAGTGTGGAGTAAATCACTAGACCATTCAACAAATAACAAAATGAGTGGGAAAAATTATACTTACACAGCAAACATCCTAGGACTGTGTACACAAAGGGCTCATTGCTAATCTTGTTAGCAACCTTGCACACCTTTTGTAATCTATAAAACAAAATCACCCACAGCAATAATGAATCTCAGTTTCCAGATACCCTCAAAAACCTGCATGACATTAATTGTAGATTTTGTAGTAGAATTTCAGGCACTCTACATAGTGAAACCATTCTCTGATGGATATTCATGAAATGATGTGTATAAGATGGAAAATTAGATTCTACCTTATCCTAGCCAGAGCTCTAGAGGAATGTGAGTGATGCAATTAATTTTCTATCAGGTAGTTTCCTCCTAAGATGTAGAAGACCAGATTCAACTTCCAACTTTACTTGAAGGAATTTAACTCATTAACTGGGAGGCTATTCTAAGCAGCAGACTGTAAGATAGTTTGAGGTCAGACTCTTCAAAACTTATTTGAACTTTATTTTCCACTTAGAATTAACATAGATGGAAATCCATATTTACCATGTTCAAGTATATCTTCTAATCATCAGACTAGATATAATAGTTTCCCACTTGCTGTCTCTCTGGTGTCCTTGGTTCAAATGGCCCTTGGAGCCATTACTGTGCTTTCTGATGGAAAGGTCTATTTGGTAACAAAAAATACTTCGGTGCAATTTTCTTCTCTTGCTTGATAAGTATTTTAATAAAACTTAATAGAAATGGTGCCAAACAGCAAGAGATTGAATGCTAACCTGTGTTCAGGTCTTCAGGGAATGTTTGTACAGAATATAACCATGTCAGCAGGAGAGGAAATAATTCATCCTCAGACATCCTATGGTGACTAAGATGTCTCTGAAAGAAAATACCAAACCCCTCTAAAGAGAAAAGAAGAAAAGATTCTGGCTATGATAAGCCTTGATAACTCTTCTAAGCCTGAGTGCTGGGTAAGGTTGAGGCAGTTCTGAGGATTTAGCTCTCCTTTTTAGATAAGCAGAACATTTCAGGTTGAATGAAACTCATCTGCTTTAGGTTTGGTTAATGTAAAGTATTAAATTACTACTTACAGGCTGGAGTTGAGCAATCCCTTGTGTTGTGATACAGTCGATGAAAGTGCTTGCTACACTCTGATGAAAACGTGACTGGCCCTGTCCAAAAGTAAGCATAAGTTAATCATAAACCTTCCATGTCACTGCTTTGCAGCTTCAATTAATGTTCTATTTATTTGTTTATTTATTAATGTTCAATTAATTTTTGGCTAAAATTATATTTAGACTTTTGCTACACCTTAAATAATTATGATGCAACTCAAGTATAACAATGCTACTGAAATAACAGAAAGAAATACTATTGCTACACTATTATGTTTATGATCTGAATAACAGAAAAGTGACCCTTGAAAATGATGGACCGTCTGAGCCTTGAAATTCCAAACTTAACAGTAACAGTTCTTACATCATGAAAAATAGAACAGTACAACTACAAAAGAGTTTAGTTTGCTCAGTAGACATCAGTGGTCTAATTCAGAAGGAATAATGTAGATGGAATGTGGGTATTATTTCTAAAGCTAAATAAATGCAACATTTTAAGCAAATAGGAGTTTCCACGCCCTGGAAAGATGAAGTAGTTTCATGTATTAATGCTTCTAATTTTCACATAGCTGGTTTACGAAGTTCTTAATATACAATATGGGTGTTGAGGAAAAAAAAAAAAAAGATAGCTGAGTAACATCTAGGAACCTGATCTGTTAAAACAGTCCTAAAAAGAAAGGGTTCAGGAATGCAGAGGGCAGCATGTTAATGTCTGGATCAGGCAAACTCCTGTGTGCCCAGGGTGTGCTGTCTTTGTCTGTGCTTCCTTCTCTGGACATACAGTCCAGTCCGTGTTAATATTTGATAAGACTATGTAGCTACTGGTCTCTAAAACATGGCTCAAAGGTAACAAATTGCCAAAGAGCCCTTCCATAATTGCTGATGGTCCTGGGAAGGTATTATTGATGGCATCCAAGTCAGAAAGGAGAGAAAAAACATAGCAATTGCACCATGTAACCTGCTTAGCAATACTACCACTGTTAGGAGGAGTTTCCTGTGATCTGGACAGAAAACACTGACATAAATTGACAATAACAGAACAAGACTAAATTTATTTGCATCCTCTAAATTCAGCGCAAATAGGAACCCTGAATACGAAGAGCTTGTTTAAAGCAGAGCTACCAAAGGATCCATACAAAATACTCTGTGTTAACTAACTTTGCTGTCAGAAGATGACTCAAGCTTTTCTGGGCAAAATTATTTATTTCACAACTTGTAAGGTGAGTTATCAGCCTGGTAAAAACATACCAAGCCAACTGTCTCTGGATAGAGCAGCCAAATGACCACAACCTTGAGAGAAGATTCCTCCCTATAACAGTGAATACACGAACATGAGACAGATTTTACAGTAGGATGTGGATTTCATGAGATTTTTCACCCACAAAATAAGCTTTTCAGCAAACTCACAAAACAGCCTTTGCAACTTTGAACTAGAAGACTGTTGCCATTTTTTTATCTGAGGGAGCAATTAGGCTCAAGAAAATTATGTAACTTGAAATTTTCCAGGATATATGGCGATAACATCAGCTTTTGTCACTAAGTAAATTCTGTGTCCCTTCAGATAATATATGGTTTTCTACTCTCTTCCCTGACATCAAAAATCGGCTGTTAATTTTATTTGTGCCTTACAGAGCACTCCATGTCAGCTGGCTTTTCAAGCTGAACTGATAGATAGCTTTATGAGTCACAAGATTATTTATGATTTTTCCTATAGTTGAGGCCTGTTACATATGGTTCTTATTTGGCTTTAAAACGTGTCTACCATTCTTGGAATACTAAAAGTGTACAATAATTTTCTTAACCCTGAAACTGTAAAGATAATGTTGACTTCCCCTTCTCTGCTTTTTCACAACTTCATCAGTTTAGAACATTCTAACTCTTGAACTAGTAAGGAATATAACTGAACAGTTCACTTAACTAAGGTTGATAGAAAAAGGATTACAGGATTACAGTTTGAACAGAATAAAGAAAACCAAAGTTAGGCTGTATTTTAAGAAAACGCCTACAGATTACAGGATCCAATAAAGCTGTGAAAAAGAGGCAGAAAAGCCCATCACTGAAGATTTTAAGAGCATATTAGAAAAAAAAATACAAGGCAAAAAGATGTAGGCACAAATTCTGAGCCAACAAAGAAATAACCTGTAAGAATTTTGAAATTAATCTGCTTTACTTATTCATTCCAGCTAATGTTAGTCAAATAATTTCAGCAATTTTGATGGCAACTACTCATGCGGAGAAGGAATATTAATTTAATGAATGGCTCCAGGCCTTCAAGTATTTTTTGCTCTTTTTTCTTGTCTATGATTTAGTATTCTCAAATACCTCTTGTAAAACTCATGGTTGTTTTTCACTGCTGTTTTTGAGTAATGAAATTTGTCCTGTATTCATTATTTAGCTTCCCCAGATTCTTACGTTGAGTTTTTTATGGTAGCTGAGCAGTTTTGCAAAGTTGCAGATGAAAAGGGAATGGATTAACTACTAATATAAGCAAAGCTTTGTGCCTGTCCTTCCCAGGAGACGAATTTTCGGTATTTCTGTGCTACATAGGATAGCATAGTTGGAATCTCTATGTTCTTCTCATTTCTTTCCCATATGGACTGGAAATAGTAAACTTCATGAGTACTTTTGTTTACTGTAAGAGTGAAGGGCCAGCTGGGTCTGGCACGTTTCCTGTAAATGCTGTTAGGCTGCGGCTGGCAGAAAGATCCTTTAAGTTGTGCTTACCCTACAGGTTTGAGGACACCTTCCCCATGCAAAAGAAACAAAAAGTTCATTTCTTTCTTGCCAAGGATCGTCTGAAATTTCCATCAAAGAGGAAACGCATAATTATTTCCAATTCTCTTTTTCATGCTCCAACTGCACCCAGTTCTCTAATTTTTAGTTTCAGTAGCCCCAATAACATTGAAAATCACCAACAGATTTGCGGTGTCATACTTTGAGGACACCTCCCCCATGCAAAAGAGACAAAAAGTTCATTTCTTTCCTGCCAAGGACTGTCTGAAATTTCCAACAAAGTTGAAATGCACAATTGTTTCCAATTCTCTTTTTCATGCTCTAATTGCCACCCAGTTCTCTAGTTTTTAGTTTCAGTAACCACAATAACATTGAAAATCACCAACAGATTTGCAGTGTCATACTTTGAGACCTTCACTTTTATGAATTACAGAATATTTGGAAGTGGAGAGTAAAGAATCAGTGCAAGCATCTTGCTTTTGATAACTCTGTTTACATATTTCAAAGGGCACAATATTTTTCCGAGTAGTTACACAGTCCCAAAGGTAAGTGCATTATACAACTCCAAAGGGTTTTAAGTGCTTGACTGTAATCATAATAAACTTTCACATTTGAAATAGCAAATCATTTTCCTGTTAATTTAATTTACACTGATTTAATCCTTCCCTTGGTAAAATAAGTGTCCATGTGTTTAAATCATAAGAAAGAAAAAGTGTTTCCCTGATATAGTGAAAATTTAAATGGCCTCATAGGTCTGTTTCTGAAAGATACATGCAGTCCAATGAGAAGTTTTAAAATCAATGAACATGACAATAAATACGCCAAGCAACAATAAAAGTGAAACAATAAGTTTTACCTTATTGTGTTTTGAAAGTTATTTTAAGCTATTATTTAAAGAGACACTCAAACCAAAATGTAATTAGGGTTGTTTAAAGAATCCTAGTCCTAAAATATGCAGTTTAACTTCACAAATGTTAAACTTGGTGCAGAACCTCAAAAAGTTAATGTGACTCTTGTGGCTACTTAGAATATGTATATATATGAAAATTAAGAGCAAGCAGCTGCCTTACCTGTAAAATGTTTTATGAACTTGTCTTTTAGAGTGGAATCTCTTGGAAAAATTTCTGAGGAGAGAAGAAAAAAATATGTATCTGTGTAGTGCAGAAATTACAGTAAAAGCCATGAAAGCATAATATGCTGAGATGTCTGCTGTAAAGAGGCCAAAGAGCTTCCCAATTTAACAATGAAATTAACTGGGGGAGGGAGAGGGCTGGTGGTGGTAACATAATGAAATGTTTCAGGCAGTTCACAGATCAATACCAAATGGTCAACCTACAACACATTATCTGATATAATTTCTGCACATCTTAGGTTCTGAGTTGGGCTATGACTTTAGAAAGACCACAAACAATATAAATAAATCATCATGTTATGACCAGTATTTGAGTACCTGAACAAATTACGTAAAATACCTTGATAAAAGAAAACCAAATACTGTAGTCTGGGGTTTGAAATAACAAGTATTTGAACAGAAATGTCTCCTACAGAGCAGCTTAGATGAGGGCCATGCATATTTTCATTGCTCTATTAGTCAAAAAGTAGCACTCCTCTCCTGTGAAAACTGCTGTGAATTTTAAAATATTCCCTTTCCATATAGGTATTTTTTCCAAAAAGTACAAGAGAAAGTACAAGTCTTGTAACAGCCGAAGGAATCCGGCAGAACAGAACCAGAGCTAACAAATAAAAACCCTATACTTTTTTTTTGCAATGGGATGCTGCCTCTGGCTTACAGCAGAAACTTGTGATGCAAATAAATATTCACAGAAGTAGTTCAGTTCCCATCAATATTATAAATTTTCCACTGGGAAAGTAGAAATATTTAAAAAATTATTGGGTAACTGCAGTTATTACTTCAGACAGTAACTGTATGTAACAGCTGCATGTTATGTTAAATTGAAAAGAAATACCTTTCTTAACACTAATACAAGGAACACGATTAACTTGTAGTATTGGGACTTGCAGCTAAATATATTTATTCACTGAAAATATTTTCTTACCACTAATGTAATTTAGAATAGTTTTATTCTCCTACTTACTTTTTTTTCCAGTTAATTCCCCATCTGAATTAACATTTAGATCAGAAGAAAGCAATTTCCCATTCATACTATAGGAAGATGTTGGTTATCTGCCAAAATAAATTCATACCATAGGCTTTAGGCAGTTTCTCAGAGGTCACATAAGTGTATTTTAAGGCTGGGATTTTAATCTAAAATGCTTTGAAGCTGAAAGTCTTACTGCAACTCAGCCAGGTTAGGCTGGGTTAGTTAAGATTCCTTGAAAATCTCAGCTTTAACTAACTTGCTTCCTACTGCAAATGAAATACCACCCTTTCTCCACCAAGCTCAGAATTTTACTGACATGAAATGTCAGGTAGTTTAAAATTACAGAAAATTAAGCAGATGAAAAGCCAGAACTGTGAAACAATCTGAGTGAGTTTTGATGAGATGCCTCAAGTGGACCAGTACTGATGAATAACTGAAGTCTGGTGAAGGTTGGGCTAGGAACAGGACATTGTTGCTCTGACAAAGAACATTTAGACCCCTTCAGAACATTTAGTCCTTTCAAAGTCTATAGAATTTGCTATGGGAACAGTAGCTGCCTTTTGCCCCATAAAATTATTTAGGAAAAGTCTGTAATAAAGTATACAGCCAAAACACCAGCCCTAAATGCACAGAAGGTAAAACAGGATAATGGATTTGATGCTCAGGCAAGGAGTTAGGCATTGCAAGCATAAAATTTCAGCTGCATCTGTATCAGTAAGCCTGAGAAGGAATGCTGAAGGGTCTGCTTCCCACGAGTAGCCTACATCAGCCCAAGGTTCACACCAGCCTGGCTACGCCTGTCCCAGTAAGAAAAACTAGGTCAGTCGTGTGTTAGAAAGTGGCTGAATAATATTGACTGCGTGCCTGCTCCTCCCCTGCTGTGGCTGCCATTCCTCCAGGCAGCAATCAGCTTTTCAACATGTGCCCACGTTTCAGCTTTCTTCAAGCGTTCATTTTCTTCATAATACAGTGCATTTGCTTGGTAAAACACAACCAGTAAGCCCTAGCCCTCCACAAAGACAACTTAAGCTCATTTGTATAAAAATCACGGGCAGTACAGGTTACTGAAACACTTCAGTCCACTAGCTCTAACAGCAGGGGCAACTCTAACTGAACTATGAACTGCCAACACAAGCACAGAAATTTTCTTCCATCTTCCAGCAGCATAGCCAACCCCTCCTATCTGTACACTCCAACTGCGAGGCTGAAGTCTCAAAGGACTTAGTATTTCTATCAAACTAATGAACATCTTTGTTGCATAGAATATGTATCAATCACTTCCAACCAGATCACACTGCATCGAACAGCAGGATCTCAAATCCATATAGGATGATTTTATAAAGTGAAAGATCATTATGATAAAACCTCTATGCTAGCTTTCCCTGGCATCTAACAAGCTCATAGCTACTGCAGTCATATTTCATGTGCTATCTATCACTTATTAAGACAGATATTAATCAATATCCATTCTCACAATGTATGCTCACATCCTCACAATGCAAGTTAAATACCTTTGACAATTTCACAAAGGAAAAGCAGAAACATGAATATAATAAGACAGATTGGCAAAGCACTACTAAAATTAAAACACTTGAAAGTCACACTGGGCAAAACCACAAAAGAATTTATTCAATCCATTCTTGCCTTAGGACTGTGTTACAAAAACTAGTAAAATGCAGAACGTATAGAATCCATGGGATACAATAACTCACTGGTTTTAATCAGTGGGGAGAATAATTGGATGGTAACAGGCTTGCAAAAATCTGCATTGCTCCAGAGAGAGTATATCTGAGATAAAAGGCACTTGTGCTATCTATCCTGGGTTTAATCCTCAGTATATCTAAATTTATAATCATAAATAATATTAGTTTCTTAATTTTTCTTCTTATGGTTTCTTTCTCATTTACATTAGGACCTTTATGTCTGTCCTTAGGTAGGTAACTACTTATCTGAGGCAAAATGCTGCCCATTTTACACCCCTTCCACAGACAGCAACAGCCATAGACAACCATTAAATGGTGTGTCGTGGTTTAAACTCAGTCAGGTAATTCGTTCGCTCACTTCCCCCCCCTTTCTTGCCCTCCCCCTGCTCTCGGAGGGACGGAGAGGAGAATCGAAAAGAATGCAACTCTCACGGGTTGAGATAAGAACAGTTTAGTAACTAAGGTATAACACAAATCACTACTGCTACCACCAGTGATAATAATGATAAAGGAAATAACAAGGGAAGAGAATACATCAACTCACCAACAGCCAACCGATAACTCACCCCCACATCCCGACCAAGCTCTGACCGATACCTCCTCTAACCCTGCAGACTCCCAGCCCTTCCGGCTAACTCCCAGTTACATCCTGGGCATGACGTGCTGTGGTATGGAATACTTCTTTGGTCAGTTTGGGTCAGGTGTCCTGTCTCTGCTTCCTCCCAGCTTCCCCTCCTCCCTGGCAGAGCATGAGGCTCACAAAGTCCTTGGCCAAACCAAAACATCGCTTGTTATCAGCTCCGTTCCCGAGCTGAAAGTCAAAACATTGCACTGCACCAGCTACCAAGAAGGGGAAAAATGACTGCTACTGCTGAACCCAGGACATTATCCACCCCTTATTCCATACCATTCACGTCATGCTCAGATCCCACATTTTCAATATACCATCACTCTTATCTCAGTGCACTCTTATCTTAGTGCATGGACCAGTCCCTATAAAGCTGCTGAGTCCATCTGGTCCATGATGTCAGGCTCCATCTCTTGTAACAGTCTTCCAGAGCAGGAGAGACTGTGTGCAGTGTTCACACTCGTGAATAACCTGGGCAATATTGTCCATTGCTAAGTCCACCCCTCGATCATGAGTCCATCTCTGTGTTGCATCTCTGCTCTGATGGCCTGAAGTGCCATGGGCCCACCAGGCTCAAAATAATTCACTGTCCCCTTAAGCAGTTTCTGCAGCTTGTTGCTGGGGACTCCATACAGCTGCCTTCCATCTCCGATGCTTCCAAAGCACTGGAGGGGCCCAGTGGACTAGATACTTGCCCATACTGTCCCACATACCCTGCCACTCATCACTGTCCAGCCTTGGAGAAAACCTCTTGGTCCCCCTATATCCTCGTCTAACCCCAGACAAGACCCAGACCTGACTCTGCTTAACTTTTGAGATCAGACAAAATGGTTTTGGGTAGAACACAGTCTGTGTGTGTGCCAACATTCTGATCCCCATCACAATCAGCAGGCAGGTCCCAAGGATGCCCAAAGGCCATTCAAAACCTTCAGAACTCTCAAACGATGCTGCTGTACTTGTCACTGGGGCTGGTGCAGCTGCTGTACTTGTCGGCTCTCCCACCGCCAGCTTCTCTTTTCCTGAGTGCAGCTCTTCCTCCTCTGCCTTGCTGGGAAATGCTGCGTGGTCTCCTGCATCCTCCTGGGGCTCGGCGGGCGGCTGCCGGGAAACGCTCTCGGCCGTCGCGGGGCTGGGCTCGGCCGCGGGGCTCGGCTCCTCCGCCGCCTTCTCCCGCTGCTCGGCAGCCGCCTCCTTCTGCTCCTCGACCGCCCCGACCTCCTCCACCGGCAGCCGTCCCCTCGCGGCCTCCGGCCCCGCTCCCGCCGCCGCTTGGTCCCCGGGGCCGCTCTCCCGGGCCGCTTCAGCAGCCGCCGGCTCCCGGGGCCGCTCCCCCTCAGCTCCCCGCAGCCTCACGAAGATGGAGAGTAGGGTGAGGGCCAGGCCGGTGAGGAGCAGCCGGACGGCCAGGTACAAGTCCAAGGCCACGTCCGTCCCGCCCTGCTGCTGGAGCCCGCCCGTATTACAAGCCATTGCCATAAAGCACAGTGAGACAAGAACCTTAGCCCAGGCCCCACACTTGATAAACACTAACACAGCAAATACCGGCTCTACGTAAGTTACAACATTCTGAAGCTGTGAGATCAAGCGAAACAACTCTGAGAGCCAATAAATCAGCATTGTGACGAGTGACTATTAATTCGGTCAGATCTGTTGTTATCTCAACCCTTCGTGCCCCACGTTGGGCGCCAAAA